GATCTTGCCAGATGTCATCAGGAAGATGTCATCAGGAACAGGTAGAGGCATATAAAGACCAGTATTTGAGACATATGGGGCCAGAAAAATCGCTCTTCCAAACTAGCAATGGTCTTATCTCTCCCTAGATGACCACTAAGACCACCACCATGTAAATCTCGAATCAGTTTCTCCCTCAATGATGAACAAGGAATACACAACTGATCCCCTTTAAAAAGATAGCCATCACGAATGTGAAAATCCGCACTTGAATGCTTGCTCACACACTTAGTCCATAAATCCTTGAACTCAACATCAGTCTCGTACAACTCTTTCAACAACTCAAAACCCACAATTTCTTGGGCTAAAGTAATAAACAAGGAAGCCCTCCTACTCAAAGCATCTGCTACCTTGTTCTAAACCCCAAACTTATGTTGAATGATGAAAGGAAACTTCTGCAGAAAACTCACCCAGCGAGCATGCATCTTGTTTATGATTTTCTGGCTATGGATGTACTTCAAGGCGAGATGGTCAGTAAACAGAATGAACTCCCTCTGAATCAAATAATGCTCCCAATGTCTCAAAGCTCTGAATACAGCATAGAACTCCTGATCATAAGTACTCCATTTTTGTCTGGCCTCGCTCAATTTCTCACTAAAGAAAGCCACTGGTCTCTTCTCTTGTGAGAGTACAGCACCTACTCCTACACCACTGGCATCACACTCAACCTGAAATATCTTATCAAAATCAGGCAAGGCTAGGACTGGCGCAGTGCACAACTTTTTCTTGATCAAAGCAAAACTGTGCTCTTGCTCAGGTCCCCAATGAAACTTCCCTTTCTTCAGGCACTCAGTAATAGGTGCAGTAATGGTACTGAACTCACGCACAAATCTCCTGTAAAAAGTAGCCAGACCATGAAAACTACGTACCTCAGTAACAGATTTAGGGGCTGGCCAGTCCCTAATAGCACTCAATTTATCTTCATCAACTTGAATCTCGTCCTCACCAACAACATAACCTAGAAAAAGCAATTTGTTGGTGCAGAAAGTGCACTTCTTTAGGTTTACATACAGCCGGTTGTCTCGCAAGACCTGTAACACTTGTTGTAGATGCTCCAAGTGCTCCTCCTTGGTCTTACTGTAAATCAGGATGTCATCGAAATAGACCACCACGAAAGAGCCAGCAAAAGGACGAAGAACCTGATTCATCAGCCTCATAAAGGTACTAGGGGCATTAGACAACCCGAAAGGCATCACAAGCCACTCATAAAGACCATCTTTGCTCTTAAAAGCTGTCTTCCACTCATCTCCGGGTCTTATTCTAATCTGATGATAACCACTACGCAAATCTATCTTTGAAAATACTTTAGATCCGGTCAACTCATCTAGCATGTCCTCTAAACGAGGTATGGGAAAGCGGTATTTGATAGTTATCTTGTTGATGGCTCTGCTGTCAACACACATTCGCCACTGATTACCCTTCTTAGGGACAAGAAGGACCGGTACTGCACATGGGCTCATACTCTCCCTAATAAACCCCTTTTTCAGCAAGTTCTCGATTTGCTCTCTCAATATTTCGTTCTCCGTAGGGCTCATGCGATAATGGGGAAGGTTTGGCAAGCTAGACCCTGGGATCAAGTCAATTTGATGTTGAATGTCACGCATAGGAGGCAGATCATTGGGCAACTCATCTGAGATCAACTCTTCGAAACCCTTCAAGATTTCCTGCACTACTTTTGGTGTCTCTGCCTCTTCTTTCAGTGCACTCATCAAACCTTTGATCACAGCTGGACAGAAACATTCAGTTTCTTTAAAAGCTTCATCTAATTCATGCTCACTCTTCGTCATGACCAGGAAATTGGACTTCTCTCTCCTTGGGCATTTATCAAAACTCAAAACTGGAGCCATAGCAATTTTGTGTTTCCCCCAGGTGAATAACATCACATTATCTCTACCCCTGTATGTGATATCATTATCATACTGCCAAGGTCGCCCAAGCAAAACATGGCAGACATCCATATTCAGAACATCACACACTACTTCTTCGTTATAGTGCCTTCCAATAGAGATAGGTATCTTGCAAGTCTGTGATACCTTAACTTGAGAACCCTTACTCACCCACCCCAGCGTGTAGGGCTTCTCATGAGGTTCTTTCTTCAATTTTAGATGCTCTACTAGCTGCTCGGAAACCAGATTCTCAGTACTCTCGTTATCTACAATCAGATTACACACCTTGTGCGCGATAAAAGTTTCTTGTTGGTTTGTGAGGACAGTACTAGGTCTGGAGGACATTTAGGAGTAATGGCTTCAGGCCTTGCAGGGTCAGAGTGTTACAATACCTCTTGTCACCAATCTCCTTAATGTCGACTCATCTCCTACGCCTCCTAATGGAAGCCAAAATTTCTCTAAACGACGTGAACTTCACGGCAAACCCTCATCTTGTTCGTCATTGTCCTCCACTTCTGACAGGACAGCCTCCACGTCTGCATCGTCAATACATAATCACTCTTAGTCTGTAACCAGATTTTGTAATGCACTCATTCTACTTCACGTGAATTAGATAACTGTGCTCGACACTGCTTGCCTCCAAGCTTTTGGCCTCCAAGTTGTCGACCGAATAAAGTTACCAAAACTGAATGAAAAAACTGAAAGGAGAAAGCATGCCTAAGCTGAGGCAACGAGAAAATCTTCACTACCAGCCACTTCAGATGTTCCCTGGCGGCTATACCAACCCTAGACATAGTCTAGGTCCAGACCGCTTTAATACATATTCTAGCATTCTCTTACTAAATAACTGAATTAGTGAATAAATTTTATCATATTTGTACAAGTACAATATTATTGTGAAGTCTTTAAGTGGTATTATGTTGATATCATCATTTTTACAAAGGTGAAAGTGGAGAACTTAAAAGGACTAGATAATAAAAGACCATATGAAGTAAGTCTTTATCAAGATAGTCTTTGTGGCGGTGTGGCCTAGTTTCAAAATGAGTATTGATTGTGCTCCAGTAGTAACAAAACCGAGCAATACCACATGGTTTGTCACGCCCCGGACCTGCCTAGGGGTGGTTCGGTACGGTATACCGAAGATTTTATCACATACCTTTACCATACCGTAAACTTTCGATATGCAAAAATACATACCGTTACCATACCTAAATTTCGGTATACCTTGTTTCGGTATACCAAAATTTCGGTGTACCAAAATTTCGGTACGGTAAGCTACGGTATCGGTAAATTATCATGATTTAATATCAAATTATTATATATCAAATGAAATATAGAAAATCGGTGTTAATAGTGATATACTAAAATTATTAATGAAATTAATTATAAAATGCCAATGATAACCTATTTGTGTTCTATCAACTTTGAACAAAAAAATATTATAAATATGTACGGATACTTCAACAGATGATATATGAAGATAACAACACATTCTGCTAAAATAATAATTTAAACAACATAAATATATTTGAAATAACATCGATCTCCAACAAAAAGTATAAATAATTCAAGAAACATGGATATAAAGTCATTATCCTTGAATTAATGTTGTGTTTCTAGTTATTTTTATAATTTTAAAGAAATTATTGGCTTGGAATTACGGTATGACGGTATAACGGTATACCGTTTATTTCCAAAATATATACCGATACCATACCGAAGTAATTCGGTACGGTATCATACCGTACCAGAAGTGTCGGTATACCAAACACTTCGGTAAATTCGGTATTTTTTGATATGGTAAGTCCGGTATACCGAAATTTCGGTATTTTTCCCCACCCCTAGACCTGCCGGACACGTCAACAACCCGCCGTACAATACGAATAGTCAACCGTAGTCCAACTCATCCATACTGTACAAGGCGTCTTGTATACCATTCACACATAGTACATCCGTAAACAAACATAATGTAAAATATTCATTTAAAGCAGCGGAAGTAATATAACAAGTGTTCAAGCCACACTTGGCAAAACATGGGCATACAAGCCCTCAAATAATTATTCAGAAAACAATATTCATGAGCATTAATTCAAATGTTTTTAAAACAGGAACGGAGGAAGCACGAACCACGTCTTACTTCCTTGAATTCTCCCGGAGCAACGAGCACTGGTAGCAAGCTCAACTCCTACCTGAAATTGTGAGGTGGCCTCCCCCGTGAAGGGGAGGTCAGTACTTGGAAGCTTTTGACAAGTACAATGACAACTATACTAAGTATAATCAATGTTTCAATTTCCAAGACCCTCAAACTAGGGTGTTATCATATTATAGTTAACTTTGTTCGTTTAGTGTCAATTCATCGTTATTTACCACGGTCTAGAGCCCAGCTCATAATCACCATTATCTACTACGGTCTAGAGCCCAGCTCAATAATCACCGTTATCTACTACGGTCTAGAGCTCAGCTCAATAATCACCGTTACCTACTACGATCTAGAACCCAACTCAATAATCACCGTCATCTACATCGGTCTAGAGCCCAGCTCAATAATCACCGATATCTACTACGGTCTAGAGCTCAACTCAATAATCACCGTTATCTACATCGGTCTAGAACTCAGCTCAATAATCACCAATTCTTGGTGGGGTAAGAGGGGTCGGAACTCGGATGTACGCAGCCTTACCTCTGTACTAAAGCACAGATAGACTATTTCCGGATGACCCATAGTGAAAATCACGTCCAAAATTGCATGACTGACTGCTACTTCATAACAAAGAAGCGCAAACAGTTTAGAGTCATTTTGCTTTATTCCATCATATTCTCAAGCCAAAAAATAATGAATCTTTGGCTCCATTGCAAATAATGCATGTCTTGTATTATGAATCTTTTTTCCACCGCTATGTACACTTCTATTTCTATCTTCACTCGATTTCTGTCTTCACTCTAATCACTGCTATGTTCACTTGTACTTAAAAGTTCATTGTTATGCGCAATTTGTGTCCTATGTTTTTCTTGGTATATTTTAGATAATTTGTTTTTAATTTAAATTGAACCAAAGCATTTAAAATAAACCAAAGTGGACAAGAATATCTATTAGAATATGAAGGGAGACATAATCATTTTCAGTTATATAAACCGAACTTCAAACCAAACAAAACCATTCCCAAATCGAACCGAAACCAAACTAAAATGCATTTGTATCACTTTGGTACCATTTTCCTCAAACCGAATAAATCGAAATCGAACTAAAACCGAACCATAAACCGATTTGCCCACCTCTATTCTGGACCATCAAAACTTTACAATATTTTATACCAATTCATGAGCTGGCTGACTTCGGCAGAGCTACAGTGTCTGGACCATCTAGTGGTGCTTGTACTTAATTTCCCAGATCTCAACATTGTCTCCTCTATCATATTCTCTTACATATTTTGGGATCTCCTTAAGATTGATCTGCTTACCTAGAAAGCAACGTGAATATGGGCTACTCACAAGTTCATTACTTTCTGCATCATCAATTGCCATATTTCAAGATAATTGAAGGAACGAATCATCACAGCACCTTAACCCCAAAACATTATCAATTAAGGAGTGTTTGCAAGGGCTTATGGTTTTTAAACATTTAAACACCAACTTCTACTTATTTTAAGCAGTTTTAAGTGTAAAGCTATAAGTGAAAAGCTAAGAGCAGGTAGAGTGATGCTTTTAAATGTTTTTCACTTTTTTTTATCACACCAATAAGCACTTTTTCAGCAAACACTCTAACTTTTACTTTTAAAAACCACTTTTCTTTTCACACTACCAACTTTTACTATTAATCACTTTTTATATAATTTCTAAAAATATCACTTTAAAAAAAGTAGAAGCAATCGCAAACTTTCCTTAATCATCTTAAATTTCTTAGCCACTCTTACCTCCCTCAAGATAGCTTCTGAAGTGTGAGTATCCGTTTGCAACAACATCAAGATCGTCAAGGGTGAAATTGTAACGCTTTTCGAGTGCCAAATATAACACCTGAAATGAGAGAGTGAGAGAACAAGTGAAGCCAAAGCCTTGAAACTGTGTCCAAAAACAAAATACAAATAGAGAAGTTCTTAGGATTTGAGAGCAAAAGGTGAATAACCGAAATATTCATTTCTTAGCAAGAAGTTTCAGCTGAGTCTTTAATTTTGCTCATATTCAAACAATCTTTGTGAAAACAGCACACTGAGGTTGTGGCAATCATGTTCATCAGAATATCCGCTGCTATGCCCTTTGGCTACTTTAATTTGGGAATACCTTTTCAGGATTTTCAGCCATCAGTCGCTCTAAGATAGAGAAAAATGCATCAGTCAGATCATCACTGTAAATTACATCTGCGGCTAGAAGTATTGAAGCCTTTTTTAGTTCTTCAATTTCAGTCTGTGTCCAAACATTCCTGGAAGAAGGCTTTATTATATTAAAGAAAATTGAACAATCCACTGCCAAGTTGAAAAGAAAAGGGGGTTCCACATAAATATGACTAAAAAATGTTAAAGACAAAAATAGGGCTACTTTTAAAAAAATTCAAAAAATAACTATATATGTTAGTGACATTGCCAGCGACACATGACACATCCCACATGTGACTGACCGGCGGGAGCTTGGAGAGAAAGGGATAGATTTAGGATTGTGAGATTACTTAAACCATTTTCTGGAAGATAGAAAAGTGTCATACTGTTCTCATTACAAGCTCTAAAAGTAATAATGCTGCTAGTTTTCCAAAATTAATTACAAAAAAAGTAATAGAACATTATATACACCTTTTTACGGATTGCAAATATTCTGCTACTTTAGGAGGCCATGGACCTTTCCAGTCGAGTTCACGCACATGGATTTGAGCATTTGGATGGAAAATTCCAGCATTGTTTTGGACATTCCTAGCACAGTTATCAAGTACTTCCTCACCATGGTCTGGCATAAGGGGATCCAGCTTAATAGTTCTATAATCAATAAGAGTGGGAATCTTGTTTTCTTTCATTCACTAACAAAGTTCAAAATACACATTAAGTGCGACATAATAGTTGCATTATTATTTCATTCAAAAACATTGCATACTGATATGATAATCCATATAGCTATATGACTCAAAAGACAAAACTATTATTAATGGCTTATATGTAGTTATTACATAACAAATGATTACTGATACCTGTTAAGAAAACAGTTCTAGCAACATGGGCAAGTATCATCCCAGCCATCCCTGATGAAGAAAATATCAACTACAAGAAAACGCTTAAACCCCCTTTGGAGGAGAAGATATGTTTCTACATTCAAAGAAAGAATAAAATATTAAGTATTACTCTGTTCACCACTAAGTTATCCGCATAATTTCCGTTTTGGTCCATCACACAATTGTCCCACATTTTCTTTTAAAGGAAAGATTATGTGCTTTATTTCTTCTCTAAACAAATATCAACCACGCAATTTTCTTTTTCTTACAATTTGTGCCATCTGAATATAGTTTTTTATTTAGGGACCGAGGTTGTAAAACACTCAATTTAAAAAATCAATCATTTAAGAAATAAATAGTGTTTTTATGTGCTTAGACCAAAATCATCTGTCAGAATAAATGTGTAATGTAACGCTATGAGAGTTGTATCAAAACCATGCTAAACTGCAACTATACCATCTAAAATAGTTCTGCTCCTCATATCAGAGGTTTTTGGAATGACCAAAAAGTAACAAAACCTTTTAGATGAATAGACGATGAAAGGTAACTAAACTTGTTGGAGGAATAAAAGTAACTAAACTGTCACCTAACCTCTATTACTTTTTAGAGATCTTTCACAACAATGGGTGACAAATTAACTCCAATCCATCTCAAAAAGAAAAGTAAAAAGATTGGCAGCCTCAAGACGAACACTTCCACTTGTACTAGACTACTAGCTCATAATTAAAGATGCAAATATCGAGAAAAATATCAAAGCAAGTGTCGTTGATGCCAAATAAGACAATAGACGACAATGCAAAGAGATGACCTACATTTTTTGTAGTACTCTTCGATTCTTTTTTTCCATCATTTCCAATGGAGCCAAAGACTCACTATTTTTTGTCTTGGGAATGTGATGGAATAAAGTCAATAAACCAAAATGGCTTACTAAATTGTCTACGTTTCTTTGTTATGAAGTAGCAGTCAGTCCATGCAATTTTCAAAGTGGATTTCATCATGGGTCATCCGGAAAGAGTCTCTATGTGCTTTAGTACAGGGGTAAGACTGCGTACATCCGACCCCTTCTTACCCCACCATAAGTGGTAGCCTTTGCAGCATTGGGGTAATGTTGTTGTTGTATAGATCCCCCTCCAAAGAGGTTAACATTATAAAAGTAGGAGATAAAATGAATACATAAGATATGATGAGTTCCCAATATCTTTACCTAACAATAGGAGGCATTACACTACTGTATGTCTACAATTTTTTATATCTACATTTTCACTTGTTTTCACCAAAAACATTTTTATGGTTCCCTATTGATTATCTCCTTAATCTAATCTTTTTTTATTAATGGATGATAAAAGAAATATAGTTAAGCCTTCTGCATGGTAACAACTGTAGTTGCTGCATCCTTTTCATAGTTGTGTTGCTACTCAAATAAGTCATCATCAATATCATTACCCCAGTGTCGCAAAGGCTCCCACCTATGGTAGGGTAAGGGGAGGTCGGATGTACGCAGTCTTACCCCTGTACTAAAGCACAGAGAGACTGTTTCCGGATGACCCATAGTGAAAATCGCGTCCAAAATTGCATAGACGGACTGTTGCTTCATAACAAAGAAGGGCAGACAATTTAGTGAGTCATTTTGCTTTATTCCGTCATACTCTCAAGCCAAAAATAGTGAATCTTTGGCTCCATTGCAAATGATGGAATATTGCTACTCAAATAAGTAATCAACAAAAATATGTTCTTGTTGACCTCCTAAGAAGTTGTATGGAATTGACATCTACATATAATTCCATGAAACTTCCTAAAATTTTAGTGGTTGTGATAGTTACACATGTCATTCTGAATTCAGCACATTATGCTTATTGGAGAGACAAACTTTTTTCATCCAATAACTTACACTTAGTCTTGACATGTTTAAATATATCGATCTAATCCCATAATAAAAACACCTTTTCATTCAGTAATTTAAACCTTGTTCAGTTTATGTCAAAAGAATTAACTTTTATCAATATAGTCCCACAATTAAAATAATTCCTCTCCAATAATTTTTATCACTTGTTGATGTAATTTTGGCTATTTTGATAATCCTTCAGTAACTTTTCAGGGAGGTAACAAGTCAGAAAAGTATGGCATGACACCTCACAATCCAGATCAACCGAAGTTTTAAGAGGGAAAATATTTGAAATTACGATCTTAATGTCTAAAAACTCTCTTTGTTCTCATTCTCTGCCACCTAAGTATCATATATACCCATCTTTGCATTCTAGTTCTCAATTGGGGATACTGCCACATATTATAGGAACAAAAAGACAAGCATGACATATTCCCTACTTTTTCCAACCAGTTCATTACCCTGATAAAAATTCAGAACGTAAGACTGTGGAACTGATGTAGTGAAAGTTTAACTTTACAGTATTGAAACTAGACAAGTTTAATTTCTGGACTATATAACATATTATATTTAGATGGTTGGATTACATTGAAATCTGATAAAATTAAATTTGACATAAATACAGGATTAAAACTGATCAAGATTCAAATCTCAGGACAAAATATACCTTTTGGTAAGATGTGATATTCTAGAGTACATGAAAACATACTATGTTGATCTTTAAATATAGTTGTTTATGTCAAAGTTGAGTTTGGGAGAGATAACACGTACGTGTACATTTCTTGATCTTTTAATCATAGTTATTTTTTTGTATATTGACCAGTAGTATCCATTGATCGTGACAATCATGGCCGCTCTCGAGAGTATCATCACAAAATTGATTGAAGATTACGAGCAGATAGAAAGCCGGCCTGACTTAAGAGGTGAGACCATTTTTTCATACTTTGCTCGAGGCCCAAAGGTGTGCGATTGGGATGTTCAATTTTTTTGCCTAGGGGGTTATCGTTTTGGGAGATGAAACGGTCGCATGTGCTCGCTAGGATAGAGATGCGGTAAAAGCAGCACCAATTGGAGCACTAGCACTGCCGGTGCAAGTGGAAGATGTCATTCAAGATTAGCTGAATATCAATAAATCTCGACCTTTTAGCTTTGGGTGGACCATTAACCTTATTTATGATCCAAGCTAAACAATCAATATTCATTGATCATCAACAAATCTTCAAAACACCTAAGGCTTAGCATTTATTTAAGTTGAACTACTACTGCTTAGCATCTCCACCACACTGAGCACCTAAGGCAATTCGAATCTTGGCATGAAAGCAGTTTTTGTTTCAAAACATAGACAAACTCTTGGATAAAATTTTCAACGTTTTCATTACAAGCATTTGAATATAATGGTCTCCGTTTTTTGGCTTCATAACTTTTAATCAAATGTGACAATATTCTTAAATCTAAAGTGTGTGTGTGGTTGTCACTTGTCACGGCTAATAGATACCACTGGTTGATACGTAGACTTCAACCGGTCAAGAATTGTGTAGCAAAACGCCATTTTACCTAACTCAACTAGTCAACTCAACATAGACAATCATTTTTAATATTCAACATAGTATATTTTCAACCTGCCAAAAATATCACCTTTTAGCATATCTGAAGAAGCCAATAACAAAAAAAAAAAAAAACTTTTTCATGCTGTTATTTAGATCTTGTTCAATATTGTTTCAGTTAAACTTAAATTTTATTAACTTGGTCTAACAATTTAAGTAAAAAATACTCCCACATCCCACAACGTAAGATGCACTTGAGTTTGGCACGAGCTTTAAGAAAATAAAAGATGTAGTAGTTGTTTTACAATTATAAACTCTTAAAAAGTAATAAAAACCAGTATGGGTCCACACACAAAAAGTAAAGATGTGAAATGATAGATAGAAGGATAAAGTGGGAAAGTAAAAAGTTAATAGCAATTTAGGAAAGTGTTCACACTTTTGGGCCAACTCAACAAGGAAAGTGTATTTTAAAAAATGGGACTGAGGGAGTACCTTTTAATCACATTTAGAACTTGTCCCATTTTTGTCCCGTAAAAATCAAACTTTTATTGAACTAGTCCCACAATTTAATAAATTGTTTACTGCAAGTCCTTTCTCACCAACAGATCAGTTTATTTTTATTTAATGACTTTCCACATTGAAAAGAATTTTATTAATTTAGTCTCACAACTTAGATAATTCTCACGAGTTAGTCCCAAAATGATTTAATCTGCACGTATTTAATTCTCTACTTTTAGTATGTTACCCACTTTAGAAAAAATCTCTTTTCTTTTCTAAAAAAGTGGTGCAAAGTATTAAAATAAAAAATATCTCAGTCATATCTTTGCATTGTTTGTTGTGTTTATTGGCACTGACAGAGCTAAGTTGGTGCTTTGATTCATGCACCATTAATAATGAAGTGATGAACTAATACAAGAAGTGATACATTACTTGAGGGTGTTACTTTTTTATTTTCTTTTTGAGATGGAGTTGAGCTCGTTTTGCACCTATAACTGTGAAAGGTCTCTATAAAACTTAAGATGCCATTTTTAATGTCTAATGAAATTTTCAAATAAGATACGGAAATAGTGATAAACTCGTACAGGTTGGGTGATTCAAGTTTATTAACTTATATTCCTTCAAAAGCATGGTTACTCCTTTTCCCCTTGGACAGAGCGTTGGGAAGGAGAGAAGTAATTTGTTAGCATCCGATTGGATGGCATCTGTCCGCATGGAAGAACAGCCGGCAGCCCGCGCTGCAGGAAATCCTTCTTTATACAAGTTCTCGGACTTTTATTCATAGAAAAAGTTCAATTACTTGTTTTTTATTTCAAACTTGTTACTAAAAATAGTGAATAATAAATGTTGGGAACAAAAGTAGTTGTTAGAACAGATGTGTAAAACATGAAAGATGAGACTCGCCTGTGCCAGCACCTAGCTCAACTGCAACAATTCCATCAAAAATAGATGAAGTGGATATCGTATGCAAAACAAAATCAGAGAGAAGCAGTTCTGCCCTCCATATCTGACAAAATCAGCAAAGTTTTTTATTAGTGTTATCCACGTTGATGATGGTGAATATGACGTGGAAAGAAGTCATAACTCCTAAAATGAAACATGTTATTACCTGCAAACCAACTCTAGGAAGTGATGATGTGATGTTATGATGGATGGTTATCACAGTATGATATTTTTGTGCTTCTGCAAAATGAAGATAGAAGGAGAATCGCCCATGGTTCCAATAAAACCATTTAAACAATGATAGAATGCAATCATGAAAAAGCAGGAGAATGTCTAATATATAGGCAAATTTGGAATAAGCAGCCCAGATTCCATGTTATAGTGGATTCCTGCAGAGAAATTTATAAGCTTGACCCTTTTTAGTTACATTCGTAAAATTATTCTCAATTTGCATACTTAATTCATTCCAGTCAAGACTCAACTCTCAAGAGTCAAGACCAACATAGAGAAGAGAACAAGAATTCCTTTTAACTCTCACTCAGTTGGTGTTGAAATGATCACTTATTCAGATACATGAAAGCATCCATAAACAGAGAGGATCACTTATTCAGATACATTGAAGATAGCACATAAATGCAGATAAAAGAAACTATATACTTGTATATCAGAATCATTGACAGGTGGTGTAGATCATCCTGTGGTAGAACAAACTTAGTACAAGATTTAGCAATCATTGTACACGGTTCCATGGTTCATAAACTGGTAGCCTGGTAGAAGATTCATATATGGATCCTGAATAGAAACAACCAAAAGAGTACTACTTACTTCTGCGCCGAGTTAGAATAAGATCACCATCTGCATCCAAGTTCAAAGTTTCAGGTCTTGAAATATGGTTATATGTGCAAGTATTGCAATCACGTAGCACTGCACAATTCTCCCAAAGATTGAATTTTTTTATTAATTTTCACTGAGCAAATTTATAGAGTAAATTTTCCACAATAGTAGCGTACATATCACAAAACCAGGACCATATGGTTGAATAAGAAAGGTCAAAATACCTTTGCGAGGTGGTAAATAGATGGAAAAGCGGGAGAGGTGCGTCCCAGAGTTGTAAGGAGAACAGCCTAGGTGGACCTCACTCATCACCTGCTCCTCCTCCACCGGACCACCGCTATAACATGGTTGCCCTGACGACGGGAAAGGCTCTTGGTCATCTTTTCTGTTTTCCATCCCGGCAAAAGCATATGGGTTAAGGTCTTATGTCAGTTATGTGGATGGGTAATTCTATTCACACCACTTTTTACTAAATAGAGTCACATATTTTCCATAGTTCCGATTATATCCTTAATAATAATAACTTAACACAGCCTCATGTGTGCAACCCACCGTCTAACCTCAACCTTTTAGCTCTTGCAACCACCCATGAATTCTACTACTTCTCAAAATTTTACTTTTGTTTTCCGTTTTTGGCTTCTTTATTCCCACAGCTTCCCCAAGACATCAGTCAGGAATTCCATGGCTTATTTTCATCAGAAAGCAAAAAAAAAAAAAGAATAATAATGAAATAAATATCTCCGAATTACCGTCTTCCGAACTCCGCTAGGCGCTAGCAATACCCGTGATTCCCAAATTGCTTAAGTTCAATCTTGCAACCAATTTCTTCCTTCTTCAGTGACTGATATACGTGTGAGAGTGAGTAACTTGCAAAGGGAGAAGGCAACTCCATCTAGTCAAGCGATTGGATTCGAGAACCAAAACTGCAGAATCAAGGGCGGAGATCGCAAGGGATAGATGCTGAGCTAGCGACTCTTCTTAGACTTCGAGTAGCCGACTATTCTAATGTTCTGTTTCAGAACTTCCGTTGTCTTTTTCCTCACTTCTTTGTCTTCTTCCTCAGCGGAAAATAGACGTGATTTGCCCACCGGAGTGTATTAAATTTGGTATTGATAATAAGGACATAATAGGAATAATGAAAAACATGTATCTGTGTTTAGTAAAAAGAGGGCTGTGACTAGAATTACCCTATGTGGATGGAGGCGTTGGTTTGCGCACGGCCCACCCCAATACGTAGTATTAATTTTTGTAACCACACTTTTTATAGTAGCTTGCAAGGAGCTTTTGCCATTGTTTCTATTTTTTTTTAAAAAGACTTTTTAAAATGATTTTGGAAAAAATGTTTAATACGGAGTAGTAAAAATTGATGGTGTTTGATAAAAGAAAGTGGTTCTGAAAAAATAAAAGTTAGTAATGTTTCATAAAATAAACGTTTTTTGTGCAGAAGAATTTCATAACGCCCCTCAATCTGTTTCCAACTTTTAACTTTTAAATGATTAATTTAAGCAGAAATTGTCACTTTGAAAACATCAATTTCAACTTTTTAAAACCCCAAAACTGAAAGCATTTTTTTATTTTTTTGCAAACACTCTTTAGACTCCTAATTATGTGATGTAGCATTAGAAGTCCAATATTTAAATGAGTAGTGGTGGATATTTTGGACTCCTAATTTAGCATAGTGGTGGATTAAATGAGCAGTTAAAAGTGACAAAGGAGATTAGGGAGTGTTAGAAATAGAGAGGATTGACATAGGGAAAGGAAAGGAAACAAGAAAAGGAATGGGAAGTGTGCTTAAATTGAAGTGGGGATGACGTCATCCCTGCGTCGTCCCTGCATCATTTTAATCTCAAATTTTGTTAAACTATTTGAAAAATATATCACATTTTGTTAACTTTTTTATTTGTTTTCTAAATTTTTCAAAAAATATATCAAAGTTTATGAATACTCGTGATCTTTCATAAGACATCAATATCTAATATATAAAATGACAAAAATCTGAAGTTCTCTTAAGAAAAAAACACAAAACACAAATTTTTAATTCATGGTGCTTACACAAATAACTGAATATTTCATAATTGAACTTTACCTGAACTAAGCTCATTTTTTGTTAACCGAAAAAAGTTAAAAAAATAATGAAATTTATTTATTTTTACATTGAAATGTCTATTTTTTATTTCATAACTATTCAGAGAAAAAGTTGAAAGGAAAACATTGCTTATAATAGTTTAATTAATTTTTTACTAAATTGATGTGTAAAAAATATGTTAACTGTATTTTGTTAACGGTGCTGAAATGCAAAGAAATATGAGTCTAAACACTTTTTTCATATAGACAGAATCTATTTTTAACATTTTGGTCACCACACCACTACAAATGGTCTTAATACTCCGTATTTTTTATAAATAAATTGCTCTTTATACCAAATAATTTTAATTTTAACCCTTTTAATTAGGACCATACTACACGCACATATATTTGTATAAAGCAATTTTGCTCATGGTTAAAAGTGACTTTCCTCCACCGTAAAAGTTACTCCCTCTGTCCCAATATAAAAGGCACATTTGCTTTTCCACACATTTTTAGGGTGAACACTGTTTGGACACTGTCTGACACTGTTTTGGACACTGTTTGACACTGTTTTGCACTGTTTTGTTTGCCAAAAAGGGAAATATGCATTTTATATTGGAACGGCCCAAAAAGGAAAATGTGATTTTTATATTGGGACGGAGGGTGTATAAAGGTGCCCTAATAATGAGTGGTCATATCATTAACAAAATTTTAACATAAGAGGTGACATCTTTCAAAAAAACATGAATTTTGCTACAGGTACCCCAACTATACCCCAAGTTGTACCCCATATAAAACCCTCCCTTTTTACCCATCTATTTTTTTTACCCCCAATCACTTCTTCAGCTTCTCTCCTCTGTCTTTATCCTCTTTCTCTTCTGCCCATTTTTTTCGTTTCTAACGCAGGAGCTACAGAGACGAGGTCATCCACAACGGAGGCCGTCCACGAACGGAGGTCATCCGCAAACGGAGGTCATCCACCGGCTATAGTACGCCTCAACTCTTTCTCTCTTCTTTCCCTTTTCTTCATTTTTTGCGAGCCTCTTCAATCGATATGCCTCCAACTATTCTTCATGAATTGGAGGTACCTTCCAACTATTCTAGGTCATTAATATGCCCATAACATGTTTGTTGAAATGCTTAAATGAATTTTTTGTTTATGTCCTCTTATGTTATAAGGATTTTGGATTTTTGTTTTACTGGTATAAGTTTCAACTTTAAACTATTCATATTGTTGGCTGGTGTATTACTTGAAGTGCATATATGGTTGATTTCTCTTAGTAGTTGGTAATGGGTTAGTAGTTTAAAAATTGTTTGTAGTTGTCTGTCATGTGAAATTAGTTGTCTGGCAAGCCATTTGAGTTGTCTGTCACTTCATTTTGAACTGTTGAAACTAGCCATTTGAGTTGTCTGTCATGTGAAATTAGTTGTCTGGTAAGCAATTTGAGTTGTCTGTCACTTCATTTGAACTGTTGAAACTAGCTAGGTTTGTAGTTGTCTGTCATGTGAAATTAGTTGCCTGACAAGCCTTCTGAGTTGTCTGTCACTTCATTTTGAACAGTTGAAACTAGGTTTGTAGTTGTCTGTCATGTGAAATTAGTTGTCTGGTAAGCCATTTAAGTTGTCTGTCACTTCATTTTGAACTGTTGAAGCTAGCTAGGTTTGTAATTGTCTGTCATGTGAAATTATTTGTCTGGCAAGCCATTTGAGTTGTCTGTCACTTCATTTTGAACTGTTGAAACTAGGTTTGTAGTTGTCTGTCATGTGAAATTAGTTGTCTGACAAGCCTTCTGAGTTGTCTGTAGGGTATTCAATTCAACCTTTATTACATTACATAAATTGTCTGTATAAGTGTCGTAAATATCTGTCTTGGTTATACTTGTCTTTCTACAGGTCCGAAGAATGTGGAGCGATGGTTGCATCCTTTGCAGAGCACCTGTTAATGGGAAAGCCCTTGGTTCCAGAGTGTGAATATGCAAACATGTGGAACAAGAGATGTCAATACGATGTTCGTTTGTGGAGATTGAAGAGGGTGGAGGAAGCATAGGAATTCTTTAGAAATGTGGGAATGTTTTTATGGGTTGTTTAATGCAGTTGCAAACATTATGGATGCAATGTTAATTAGGAAACATCGTTTGTATACTCACACCCATTTTTTGAAAAGTTAATTAATTTCTCGTACTAACGCAATGTTTGATAATAAGAGGTTGGATTGAAACATTAGTTTGTTGTGAATTATCATTGTTGACATTAGGTATACACATACATGCATTAGTTTGTTGTGAATTACCATTTTTGGCATATGTTTCATAAAAAAGACAGACAATACATATATCTAGATAGACAATAGAATAATCAGGCAGAAATTAGTTTTATACAGAGAGACAATAATTTTACACATACAAACAATATGGTACCCAGACACACAAAAAATCAACACACATAACTGGATAACTATACATTTAATGTTTGCAAAAACTTACACATGCTCAAAAAACCAATCCAATTCTTCAACATTGTACAATATTTGACACATTTCCCCAACTGTAATATGTAATGTTTGTAAAAAAAATACACATTAAAAATATCAGAAGTTCAAAACCGACACATTTCTCCAACACTCTATGCTTCAGCCTTCTTCAAGCGCCAAAATTCAATACCAAATTCAAGTCTTTTGTTTGACATGTTGGTGTAGTCATAATCTGTAAGCATTAACTTCTCCAGATCTGTAGACAGACAAATAAAGCACAGACAGACATTTAGAACACTTAACACAGACAAGTAAATGAAAATTACAGACATCTATTTTTAAAATGACAGACAACTAAAGATGAATTACGGACATCTATTTTTAAAATGACAGACAACTTCACTACTCTTACAGACTCATCACAACAACATGACAGACAAGTCATTACAGACAACTCAAACAAATACAGACAACTAACAAGCAAATGACAAACAATTCAATTAAATATCAAGTACATACGTCTATTTTGCAAGTGACAGACAACTCCTCTAGTCTTAAAAAAAATACAGACAACTCAAATTACTCAAGGTTAGGAATACTTAATATCTGAAACATTCCTAATATGCACAATTTAAAGTTGAAACTTATACTAGTAAAACAAAAATCCAAAATCTTTAAAACATAAGAGGATTGTAACAAAAATCCAAAATCTTGTAGACAGACAAGTATAACCAAGACAGATATTTATGACACTTATACAAACAATTTATGTAATGCAATAAAGGTTGAATTGAATACCCTACAGACAACTCAGAAGGCTTGCCAGACAACTAATTTCACATGACAGACAACTACAAATCTAGTTTCAACAGTTCAAAATGAAGTGACAGACAA